TGACTGTGTTTATTGTGCCCTTAAATTCTGGGAGATTTTATTCATATTATTATTTAGTTCTAAAAATTGTTTTAGAGAGCGAGTGTGGTTGCACCAACACCAGTACTTAGCTGCGGATCGGCGTGTCCTTGGGCTAGAGAGTGGGATATCAGGCTTCTGCGCTAGAACTTTCCTTGTGGTAACGAGGGAAGACTGGTGACCACCCGGCACGGAAGCTGCAGCAGGTTTAAAAATGGGTGATGTTGAGAAAGGCAAGAAAATTTTTGTACAGAAGTGTGCCCATTGCCATACTGTTGAGAAGGGAGGCAAGCACAAGACTGGGCCAAATCTCCATGGTCTCTTTGGGTGGGAGACAGGTCAGGCTGCTGGATTCTCTTACACAGATGCCAACAAGAACAAAGGTATCACCTGGGGAGAGGATACATTGATGGAGTATTTGGTGAACCTCAAGAAGTGCATTCCAGGAACAAAAGTGATCTTTGCTAGCATCAACAAGAAGGTAGAAAGGGCAGACTTAATAACTTACCTCAAAAAGGCTACTAATGAGCAATAGTCACTGCCTTATTTATTACAGAACAGAAATGTCTCATGGTTTTTGTATGTATACCATAATTTAATCTCATACACCAGACTTCAGATCATAAGTGGCTGACAGAATATTTTTGTTGGGCAGTCCTGATTTAAATAAAATTGGCTTGTAGTTAAAAAAAAATAAAAATTTTTTTAGTTCTTCTTTGATTTTTTTTTTCTGTAACCCTCTTTAGTTGCGAGTAGATTGTATAGTTTCAGTGAATTTGCATACTTTCTGTGTTTTCTTTTGTCGTGGATTTCTTTTTTTTCCAAAGTTTTATTGATAAACAGATAACAATGAGACAGTTTCAAATCAAATCAGAAGTACAGTTTCAACAAATAATACACTGCATATATTCTTCTTAGTGGTTAATTGCTGTACAAGAAGTGGACTTGTGATCCTATTTACAAACACCATTAGAACAAATCATTCTATTCATTAAGAAAATGCAACTATATATCCATCCCAACCACTTTGAATACACAGATACAAAATGGACATTCATCGGTATACCCCATTTGTTCTAATTTCCGTTATTGAATATTATAGGTGTGTAAACTCAGGAAAATATTCTAAAAGAGTCCAGCAGCCCATAATAACATTGGGTCTTCTGTTTAACTGGCAATGTCAGAAAATATCGACTTGAGTCCCCCACAGCTCAACATAACAGCATGACTTTATTTCCTATGTTTTGTCTTCATACTTTTCTACTGGATGGTTAAGACCAAGGTAAAGCAGGACCTATGCAACAAGAGTTGTAGCTTTTTGGTCTGAGAAGGTCAGT